GGGGGGGGGGGGGCGGGTGGCGGCGGCGGCGGCGCATCATCATCGTCGCGCTCCTCGAGACAGGCCACCGTCGGCTGCCCCGACATGCTCGCCAATATCCACATGCGGCTGCTGGACTTCCTCGCGTGGGACCGGACCCGCAGCCTGCGGTGCGGCCGGGAGGGGAAGCAGGAGACGTACTGGAGGAACCTCCTGCCGTCGGTCAACCGAGCAGGGGGCGCCGCGGGGGGTGGCGGCGCGGGCCCCGGCAACGGCGGCGGCGGCGGCGGCGGCGGCGGGGGTGGCGCCAACGGGGAGGCGGTGGGGGCGGGGGGGGGGGGGGGGGCGGCGCCGCCGCCTGGAGACGACGAGGAATTCGGCGGGGCCCCCGAGACCACTCTTCCGGGGCTCCGTGACTCGAGGGAGCTTGTCCAGGCGAGCCCGCACGGTTTCCCCGAGCTGCTGAGGCTCGTGGCGATTCACAGGGAAGGGCTGCTCCGGCGAGTGGAGACCCGCCGCATGGCCGCCGCCCGCGGTTTCGCTGGTCTCGGCTTCCGGAGGGAGGGGGCCAGGGGCCGCGACGCGAGGGTTCTCCAGGCGAGGGTGCTGGACCCGCTGGGGGAGGTGATGCGCATCCTGCGGCACCTGCTCAAGTCCGAGGAGGCCAAGCCGTTCGCGGACGTTCCTTCGGACGATGACGTGGCACCGGAGTCGGAGAGCGACCTGGGTGACGACGGGGGGTTCGGCGGGCAGGGGGAGGGGGGGGTAGTGAATAAGGAGGAGGAGAAGGAGGAGAAGGCCGAGGTGAAGAGACCGCTGGACCTGGGTACGATCCTCAGGCGGGCGGAGAACGGGTGGTACGACCTTGAGCCGGGGGCTGAGGTGAGAAAATAATTTCATGTTGTTTCTGCTGCTGCTGCTGCTGGGAATGTTATTGTTTATGCAGCAGCTCCTTTTGCTGTAACTGTCGTTTCACGCTATTCGCCTCTATGTTCGGCACTTGGTACTGTTCCTTGTTGCGGTATTTTAGTGTTTTGCCTTGGTAGCTCCTTGTCCTTGGCCTTAGATGACCTCTCTCTCTTCTCGCCGTCTGTCGCTCTGTGTCTTGTTTCCTTTTTTATAGCCTCCGGTGGAGTCGAACAGCTTCGGCGCGGGGCATGCGGGTGTAGCGTACGATGTGGAGCTGATGCAACAGGGCTGGTTGGAGGCGAAGGGCGCAGACAGCGCCATCTTCGAGCAGGTGCGGCAGGCGGGGTCGGAAGATCATCTCGGGAGTGATTGAGTTTGTCGCAGCTTTGGTTGAAGAGGACATGCGCTTGTGTGCTCCTCCGCCTCCGTAACAGATGATGGCATATGTACACGTGGCACTGGCGTGGTTGATGTCGCTGCAACAAGCGAGAGTGTGTGTGATGCACCCATGACTCGTGTTAAGAACGACGGGAAGGAGGCAACACGTGTGTTACACCGCTGCTGCACATGCGGTTGGTTCATGAGGGCTGCTTAGTTCGATGTTCTCAGGCCAGGTTCGTTGTTTTGCCTCGAGGCTCGAACGAATGTTTTCGCAGCTTACACCCTCATGAGCGGGCCGTTACGACCGCTCTAGTAGCCTCGATTCTCTCCCGTCCACCCATCCAAAAATATCATCGATTCACCGCGGGCGGTGTAATTGTTGTCGTTTCACAGGCTCGCGGGGTGGTGGACGAGTTCCTTGCTCTCTACGAGACTCACGTCCTCAATCCGCTCGTAGAATTAGACAAGGACATCAGGGGTTCCACGGCGGTGGCGGCGGCGGGGAGGGGGGAGTTGGAAGAGGGGCGTGTCCTGCTCCGGTCCGACACGGACTCCGAAGACGCGAGGCGGGGCGCAGCTGGGTGTAACGACCCCCTAGAGATGGTGAGGCAGATGGGGTCGGAGGAGTACAAACGGTGGTCGCCGGCGGCGAGGAGCCGGGCTCTGGCTTGGCTCTGCGACGAGGCCCTGTCTGCCGCGACGATGAACGACCTCGTGAAGAAGGTGCAGGAGGCGAAGGAGGTGGTGGACAGGAAGGACCGAGAGGTGAGGACTGGGGGCACGCAGATTGGTGCGATTTCAAGCAGAGGAGGGGGGGGGGAACGCCCCAAGGTATCCAGAGAGGACGAGACACCGCAGATGGTGGGACCTTCAAGCGGGACGGGTGGGACGGGAGGGAGCCCCGGGGTTTCGAGAGGGGTAGGTCGCATAGAATGGGAATGGTCCGGGGTCGGACCGACGTCTCCCTCCGGGGTAGGGCTCTCTTGTTTGGGTATCTTCTCCGACAGTTTGTGCGTGGAGTTTGCTTTTCTTTTTTCTTGTTCGGATCGGGAAATGCGGGCGAACGCTTTGGAACGTGCTGTTTGCTGTGTTGGTGTAACTTATCCTTATCCTTATCCACACGAAGTGTTCCGTGCCTCTCGCGTGTTGTGTGTTTTGCAGATCAAGGCTGCGGTTCGGCAGAGGCTTCGAGACCAGGAGGCTACGGAGGCTAGAGGGTGAGTGTCACTTGGGATCGTCACTTGGGTGTTGTCGCGGTCTCGAAAGGGGAAGGGGTAGGGGAAGGGGGCGTGCCAATGCCAATCAGGAGGTGGTGCTGATCCGGACCCTGCTACCTGGTGCCTCTCAGGCTCTAAAGGCGTTGTCCACCTTTTAGCCTCTGAAGCACACCCGCTGTGTAGGGTAGTGTCGGAGACCCCCCCGGAGTCGTCCCTGTTCCCTTCGCTCCATCTTCTCACGTGTGCTATCATCCCGTGCCCTTGCCTACGAGGCGTACGCGTTTCTGTGTGCATCAATCGTGTACACGCCAGCCCCGCTTACACGCACCAAGCTTTCCTGTAAACGGCCGCGGCAGTGGTTCTCCCCCCCGCCCCGCCCCCGCCCCCGCTCGAGCAGATTTCGATACTCAATCGTCAAATATCGTCGTGCTCGGTTTTTTTTTTGTCGACCGTCGGGGTACTTCGCAATTGAGCGCGGCTTGCGCTTGCATGTGCTGATTTTCACGCGTCGGAAATGATTTTCACCCCCCCCTCACCTCTTTTTTCTTTTTTTTGGCGGAAACCATAATGATGGTCGAGTAGATCATGTTGTGCGGGGTCGAGAACCCTCACTCCGCGCAAGGGGGATGATCGCACCACGTTGTGTTAAAATGGTCAAGCACCCTCGAGGCAGTTACACAGGGCTTATAGCTGTCTCTGGAAGTCAAAGCACCAGAAAATTAATTAAGTCATACGCAGCTGTTACCCGTATGCAAGGAAGT